GTAAGATGATAAAATCATTATCATCAAACCTATTGTAATAAGTATAATGGTTTGAACTCAGTCTGCTGAACTCAATTTATTGTAACTAAGCCTAATTATGAAAGAATCAAATCTCTTGTACTAACACCTAGGCGTTTGCTTTAAACCATACAAATATTTAATTGATTTGCAAACCAAGTTTTCTTGTTCTTTAAAGCTTTATAATCGAAACATATATATTTCCTTTTCAAGTTCTTCATGAAGAAAATCAGTTTTTACATCTAATTGCTCAATATGTAAATCAAATACAACACACAAAGCTATAGTAACTTTAATTATTATTAATGTAACAACTAAAGAAAATATCTCACTAAAATCAATGCCCTCTTTATGAGCATATCCATTTACTACCAATCTAGCATGATGTTGTTCCACTTGATCATTGTCATCTTGTTTGATCTTATAGACATATTTGCAACTAATTAATTTTTTACCTTTTGGAGGTTCAACAAGCTTCCATGTCCTTTTCTATGAAGAGCTTATACTTTTTCTTGTATTTTTATCATCCACAATGAAGCATTTGAACCACTCCTCGCCCCTTGAAAAATTGAAGGCTCTCCTTCTTCATTCAGTAGATAATACATATCATGGCTAGTCATAACATATTGTGACTGCCAATATGGTTTAATATTTTCTCATGTTTATCATTAGAGTCCTCCATTACCAATCTCATTTGGCTTTTCTTCTTCATGCTCTTGTTCTGGATCAAGAGAATCATTTAAAGACTTCTTCTTTCTTTGTACTGTGGTAGTGACCTTTGTAAAATTGTCATCTGTCTACTAATTTTGCTGTTCATTTTCTACAAAAGCTTCATCCCTGGTAACAACAACTTTGTGGACAGTGGGATTCCACAAGCGATACCCGTTCACATTGTCAGCATAGTCCAAGAATAGATATTTCTTAGATTTTGGATCTAGTTTTGTTCTTGCATAGGAGTTTTGGTCTATCTAGGAGAGTCATGTTCATCTGCTCTGCCACAACATTCTACTGAGGTGTACGTGGAACAAAAAATTATCTCGTAATACCCTCTTGTTTATAGAATGCTAGAAAATCTCCATCTACAAATTCTCTCCCATTATGTGTTCTTAAGCACTTAATTCTTTTCCTAGATTCAAGTTTTACTCGTGCTTTGAATTCCTTGAATACTGGAAACACATATGACTTTTTCTTAATAGGGTATATCCATAATCTCCTAGACTAATCATCAATGGATGATACAAAATATTTAACTCCTCTGAGGGATAATATCAATGATTCCCACACATAAGAATAGATCAAGTATAATATGTGTTTGCTTTGGTAGTTGCTCTAGCAAACTTCAATCTATGTTGTTTGTTTATCACACAGTGCACAGAAGGAAAAACAACCTTTTTGAGCCCAAGTAAGATATTACATTCCACAAGAATTTATAGACCTCGCTCTGATATATGACCAAGTATATGATGCCACATATCATTACTTCTTCTTGACTTTTCGATGCAATTGTTGCATTTGCTTCTTACAACATATTCCCTAAAAGCATGTACAAATTTGTCATGATTATCTATGCTTTGACCATTAAAAATTTCCTCTCACCACCTTTAAGATTCACCTTTTAATATGGATCTTACACCCAAAGTTATCTGATTTCCCAATAGACAATAAATTTTTCTTCAAATCCTTCCCATGTCGTACCCCTTGAATTATGTAAGCAGTACCATCATACATTTTTATTATCATTTCCCATGAACACAAATCTACCTGAGATAAGTTCATAAGTGTAAAACCAATCTCGGTGTGAAGTCATGTGTCATGTTATACCTGAGTCCACTATCCATCTAACATGTAATTTCCTTTCATCATTAGAGCTAATTTTTTCTTTTTTCGCCTGAATTCTTATTCAAGAATAACTCTAACAACATCCTCGAAATGTAAGCATCCATCAATGTTATTATTTGTTATATTGATGACAAGTTTATTATACAAATAAGGTAAACTCTAAAATAGAAGTTTCGTACATTTATTTTCAATTATGTTGAAATTTGTTTCTAAAAATTGGAAAAACAACGTATTTAGATTGTTGATTTGGTCTGCCACTAGTGTGGACTCACTCATTCGAAGAATATAGAGTTTTCTAGTCAAGAATATTCTTGGGTGAAGTGACTTTACCTCGTACAATTTGATAAGAGTGTCCCAAATCTCCTTTGCAATAGTCTTCTCCGTAATGCTAGATAAAATCGCATTTATCATTGTTAAATGCAAAGGTAATAATGTAAATTTATTAAAAATAAAATAAAATTACATACCCTTCTCTCTAGTTCAAAGGATAAAATAATAACATTCTCTCTTGGAAATAAGAAAAAAATTAACTAGAAGGAGAACCTCATGATAAACTAATTTCTCTCTTAATTTTCTCTCAAACACTAAAACAATAGAAAAAAAAAATTGGTGTGTTCTAATAAGGAAACACTATATTCCTTCTATAACATGAAAGGTAAGGATCAAAGTAAATTTGCTATTGTTAAGTGGTAAAAAGTTGATATAATTATGCCTTGAATTGTTATGAAACCACTTAACTTATGTTAATTCTAATCTATTTTTCTCCAAATATAGGATGAATTCGAGAATACCTTGATACAAGAGTAAGAAACATAATTGTCAGCATAATTCGAGTAAAACTGGAAGAAGGAAGAAGATTTTCAGCATGAAAGTCGCTCGAGCAGGATGAACTCTCGCTTGAGCGAATATCAGTTATTTTTCTCTGGAAGTCAGCCGCTCAAGCGCAAGAAAATTCGCTTGAGCAAATGTTAGTTATTCTTCTTTGGAGTTCACTCGCTCAAGCGAACATTTTGTCGCTTGAGCGAAAATAGGCAACTTTCTCTTGAGCAAAAGACGCGAAACCCTAAAGCCCAATTTTTCCTATGAAAAAAGAAGATATGTTTTGAGAAAAGTAAGCGGTTTTGGGGAGAAGAGGCGCGACTACTGCTAGGGTTTCGTCCAATCTTCATCAATTCTTCACTTTTTCCTCATTTGGAGCATTGTAATGGCCAACATGAGTGACTAACTTCATTCTCTCTGGATTTGGTGCACTTCCTTTGAACTCTTTTGTATCATGGTGATATTTTGAGATATTAATCTATCTTTTGATGTTGTTATTCTTATCCTTTGTGCTTTGGAATGATTTATTCTTGATGTTTGGGATATGATTGGAAAATATATCTTGAACCCTAGATCATGGTAAGAATATTTGTTATGTTAATTGCTAGGAATGAAATGAATGTATCAATTGCTTAACACCCTAAACCTAATGCTGGAAAATCTTTTAATTGTGTGAGAAATCAATATTTATTAGGTTTTCTTATGAATTTCATGTGTGAGGAATCAACATGGATGATTTGAGTAGGTGACATCAACATTGTTTGGTTAATTGACGTTCTTAATTGACATAACCATTACAAAAGAGGGATAAGGAAGGAAGTCAATCCTAATTACCTTTAATTGATATTTTCTCAACAATTTATAGTTTTTTGTCATTTAATTTCAATTCAACTCTTTATGCAAAACTCAATTTGTTTTAATTTACTTAGTAAGCATATAATTGAGAATTTTTATTAAAACCGTTTCTCGTGAGATCGACTTTTATTTAATCGAAATACTATATTGCGATTGATAATTTTAGTACGTTTATCCATAATTCAACAGCTATTAGTGAGACTTCACTTCTTACTTTAACTTCTTTGAACACAACTCACTTTAACTCCATAATATTTGTTAATTTTATTAATAATAATAATAATAATAAATCAAAATTATATATAAAAAATATCAAAATCATAATTTATTTTATAAGAGAGATCTAAATAATAAATTGACTTTTTTATATTTTAAAAAACAGATGATATTATATTCTTTTGTAAAGTGTTTCTAACACTTTTTAAATATGTTATTAAAAATTATCGAGTAAAACTAAATCAATAAAATAAATTAAAAAAATGGGTCACATATTCAAAATGTAAATATTATCCTAAATTATACTTTGAAGTATGTGTGTAAATTTTTATAATAGCTGCTTTAAAACTTATATTAAAAGTGATTTTGATTGATTGATAACGTTAAAGTCTTTACTCTAACCGTGCATAGTCATTAAACACGAAAACCATATAATTAAAATAAGATTTTGTTGCTGTATTTAATTGAAATTATAAAAAAAAAATTATATAAAACAAATAAATATAATGGTAGCCAAACTAGCTATTAAAAGATTGAAATTTCATATTAATTCACTCTTTTAAATATTAAAAAAAATCATGAAATTCTTTCAAATCTTATAAATATATAAATTAATTTCAAATCTTATAAATATATAAATTAATTACAAATCTTTTAAATCCTACTGATATAAACTATTAAATTCTAATTAAAAAATCTTAATCATAAGATTCCTTAAAAAGAATTGTGATATATCATAAGATTCCTACTTGATGTTCAAAAATCCACTAAACTTGACGTTAGAACAGTCATTTTAGAATTCCAATCCACATCACACGTAAGATGACTATGGCCGGTGGCTGGTAAATTTAGAATTATTCTACACGAAAACGAAGTGCTTTTGGCTAGAATTTTTGAAGCCTAAAACTGAAAATGTGACTACATAACGTTGGTCACGGTTAATTAACAAGAAAGCCCTTTTTCTACGCTTCCCAGTTCCAACCAAGTTCCAATCATGATTCATGACGGGAACCTGTGTTGTGTGAAGTGCATTCTTGTACCTTTTGTCTTCTCTCTGTAGATTAATCTACAAGCTATAACCCCTCTTCACCAGAATTTAGATTAGCCGTTATTATTAATCACAAATCACGTGATATAGCAGCATAGCATAGCCCTTCTATTAATTAAGATCCTACACAGAGTACCACTACTTGTACATTGCAACCAAAACAACTCCATCATCATCATCATCATCATCTCATCAATTCATCACCATGAAACAACACACCAATTACAACACCAGCAGCAATAGCTGCAATGATGAAGGGAGCATTGTAAATGTTCCTTTCTCTTGGGAACACAAACCTGGTCTCTCTAAAGTCACTACTCATGGCCACAATGGCTCTAGCTTGGTGCTTCAGCCTCCTCCATGTTCATCATCAGATCATAGACACAAAGAGGAGGAGGAGGAGTCTCAGATTCTGTGTGCAGTGCAGACCTCCCTCAGAATCAGCTCTTTCAGGATGGAGACTCAGAAGGAGGAAGACCCTTTTGTTGAAGCTTACAAGAAATGCACTCAAAGCCCCTTTATACATCAACAGAGCAATAGGGTCCAAAAGAACATTAGATCTTGGCCTACCATAAAGAAGTATGTCAACATTCTTTCTTGCAAACACTCCAATGATGTTTTGTAGTCACAAAACTGTCTATATCTATGAAAGTTCAGATGATATCTTCAATTCTTTGTTTACAAAACAACAACAAAACTTTATCATTTCCTTCCAGACAAGGTCGGCTACATGATATCTCTCTTCACAACTTTCTCCGAAGTCTTTCTTGACGCCATTCAGGCTTGAATTGTTTTGTTCATTGTACTTTTCTTTTCTGGGGGAGAGGGGTCTTTTTGTAAGTATCATATGACGATTGAAGTGCCATTGTTTTTTGTATAGAAAAGGATTGGTGGAAAATAAACCAAGGAAGCAAGAGCAGTCCCTGATTAGTGTATAATTTCCTGCAGCCTGATTCATATTACATGACTCAACCATGGCCTGCTATGAGCATTTTCATGTGTTTTGATTTCAATAGAGCGTGAACATATTACTGGATGAGCTCTAGTAAACGGTCCATACCAAAGTCATTAACTACTGTAGATTTAGAAAATTCCCTAATGAAAACGACCAATAGCTAATTGATTCAATGTTTCCCTGTGCTCTTATTATCCCAAACATGTGATCTTACAGAAATATAGATTTTTTTTTTCACTAAATAAAATAAAACTATCTCAGTTCATGTTGCCTTTACAGCTTTTAAAGTCTGAAACCATGTATATATTTTATGGAGACAATTCTGTCAGTTAAATAAGCTTGTGAGTGATGCAACTGTATAACCACGATTGATTAATTGGATCAACTTTGTGCAATTTGATGTTTTTTTGAAAACAATTTAAGAAGTGAGGAGTGAGGACAGAGGAGGAACGAGTCAACCATCATGAGTTTGTCTTATACTCTTCTATCTCCTTGCTATTGTCTTCTTTTGAGTGATGCAAACCCGTGTGAACTTGCTCTTCTTTGCCACTCATGTGTCATTATTTTCCAAGTTCATTTCAAACCACAAAACTAAAATTGTCTACGCTTAGGTTTTATGTGCTTGTCCAATGTCCATTGAGACTGTTCCATTAAACACTATGTGATGGAAGTGGACCAAAAAAATCTATATATAAATTATAATGGCCTCATCATAGAATAACACATCACCACCGCCTCAGGTCCTCAAGCCACATATATATACAAGGGCCTTGTCATTATTCCATTAACAAAAACTGATAGAATGAGTCAACCAAAGGATCATTCAGCAAGAAAGGTAACCTTCTCGTGGGAAAAGAAGCCTGGTGTCTCCAAAGTAACCAGTACTCCTCAAGGTGAAACTCGCATCCCAAAAGAGCAAGAGTTTTTGGCCAAGTTGCCACCCCCTCCTTGCACACCTGAAGAAGCCACTCCCAAAAGCCATGTTCTTGATTTCCAAATTCCACTTCCTCCTTGTGCTTTTCAGCCTCCTTTTTATAGAACTTCCTCCAAGAGGGGTCTCTGGGTTCAGGACAAAGACCCTTTCCTGGCAGCTTTCAAAGAGTGCACCAAGAATCAGAAAAGTGCCAAGGTGAACAAAAAGTTGATCAAAGATGGAATCGAGTCAAGGGTAAGGAAGAGCATGTCCTTTTTCTCATGCACCAGATCTTGCACGGTTCGTGACACTAATTTGCTCAGGATCTCTAATATAGATAATGATTGATATGTTAATATGTTATAACTTATTAATCTGTGTTCTATGTGGATGACTGCTGTGCATCTTACAAGTCCAAATATAGAATAATAGATGTCTGAAGAATAATCTAAGTGAGAAAATTTCTGCTGCTGTTATGCATGCTTTCTGATCATGATTGAGTGCATGATGGTTAGATTGATCTTAAGCTATCGATGGCCATTGTTGACTACAAAATCAAAGACAGTAAATGTATGGATTCAGCACTTCACATTCCGTGTATGACTTTGCAAAAAGGCTAGTTATTTTAAAATTTTATTTATGAAACTTGTAGGTGTATCTAATAACCTGTTTATTTCACTTTCCTAAACTTATAACAAATTTTTTTTTATTATCTTTTTAGTCCCTGTGATAAAAAAAAATCCAATCCTTCAAATTAATAAAAAAAATAGTTCTTAAAATTTAGTAAAATATGTTTTTAGTTCTTAAACACTAAATTTAATAAAGAATAAAAATCGTTTAAAAAACTTATTTAGTTCTTCAAATTTACTGATTGGAACTAATTTATTTATTTATTTTAAGGGATTTTTTTTAATTTGAGGTAGAATAACACAAAACTATTTTTTTATATATATAATAAAAATATATAAAGCCATGGTAGAATAACACTTGGCTACCTCATATATTCTTGAATTGGCCAATATTGTAGATAAACTATGATTATTGATATGTTGACCAAAAAATAAATTATTGAGGAGATGAATGACCAATGACCTATTAGAAGAGTAAGGTCAAATAAAGAGGTAAGAAAATAAATTTAAAAATCAAAGTATTGAATTTCATAGTCATGCATACAACATGAAAATGAAAATGTTTTTTTTTTTTTCTTTTACCATGATTTCCATATTATTGAAAATATAATGAATATGGAATCAAAATCAAATAAAAGGATATCACAAGAGATATCTATGGACTAAAAATATTATTGAAAATAATTTTGGTAGTAGTCTGCTGGACTGTGTTATCGACAAGGCTAATAAAACATCAGTCGTGGGTCCCCAATTATATACGGTTTCAGTTGTTATAATAATTTGTTTACTATTAATTAAACTATTAAATAATAAATTTTGTTATATCACGATATGCTATATTATTAATTTCATTATCGTTAAACATAAATAAATTAATTATAATAATAATAAAAATCATAAAAATAAAAATACATATATTGATTTATGAATATAACTGATATTGTAAATCGTTTAAGTGTCATTTAATGGCTTTTTTTTTTTTTTTTTATATCACAGCGTTAAGTTTTCTCTAAAATAAATATTTATAAAAAAATTAATAAAATGGATTACGATTATGAAAATATTTATTACGTAACATTAAATTGAAATTATGTTACGTATGACTTCAATTATATTTAATATATCTATATATATATATCATTAAAAATTATTTTAATTTAAAATTTAAAATAAGTATAAGTTAAATTATTAATATAATTAATAGATTTAATATTTATATTTCAAAATACATTATGTGTAATTTATAATATTTTAAACTGTATATATAAAATTAATTATTTTTTCTAAATTTATATTTTTTATATATAATTAAAATTTATATATTTGTCTATATATAATTTAAATATAAATTTATTGTAAATTATATTATATATTATAAAATTTATATATATAATTTAATTTATTTTTTAAATAAAATTAATTTATAATGATGTTTATATAAATATGTATAATATATATATATATATTAAAGTATTATAAATATTTTTTATTGTTAATTTATAAATAATTTATATATATGAATTATTTGTTGGCAAATTTTGGGTCATGTATATATATGATACATATTTAAATGTGTTAGGGTCATTATTTATTAAGCCAAATAATAAAGTGATCTAACTAAATTAAAGTTTTAGCTAAAGGCATATGTCATGAAAATAAAATTGTGTAGAGACCATAGAGCAATTTCTAATTTGATGAGGGGCCAAATTGGAAATACTAAAACTTAAGTAATTAACCTAATTCTGGTTATCTAAAGGGTCATGGTCCCCTTCGAGAGCACACACACGAACGTAAGTATCGAGTCCCGTTCCTTTCTTTCTATCCCCATCAAGAGAGAAAATCAAGAGAGAAATACAGGTGCTCTTCAGGTGGAAGACCATAAGATCAATATAGTGTTCTACAAAGACATCATCGTTATGGCTAATTCGAGTACGCTTTCGCATTCAGTTCATAAGCATGTTTATCGAGTATGGGATTATGTTTATGTTTGATTGTTAGAATCAAAATCGGGATTATTATTATTATTATTGTTATTGTTTTTCCAACAATTGGTATCGAGTCGCCCATATTTGATTCATGTCTGTTTAATTTATAGAACCCTAATTATGAAAATTAGGATTAATTTTGTTTTAAACAATTCAAATTACCCAATTTTATGAACCCTAAGTGGAGGATAATCTCTAATTTTTGTGAACCCTAAAATTTAAATTTGGGGGTAACATCCCCAATCTGATTTCGCTTGCTGATGGAACCAGTGGAGGAAGCTATAGATTCTTCTTCTTCTTCGTTTTTCACTTTTGTTTCGAGTTTAAGTTTCAAGTTTTACTTGAGAAAGAAACGAGTGTTTCATATTTCAATTTTTCTTGTATTGGGTTCTCTGTTTTTTTTTTAATCTTTTGTTTTTATTTAATTTTATGGGTTTGGAATTGGGGGTGGTGTTTGTGGAGTTCCCAATACAGAGAATCTTAGGTAAATGATGAATGTTTCCACATGTTTGGCTATTATTATTTTATTGCCTCTATCCCCTAGGAATTTAAGGAAAATTTGATGTTAAATTAGGGTCTGAGTGATTCTTGTTTAATTCCCTTTTAGGGTTTAGAGCGAGTATGCTAAAGAGACTCGAACTATCTCTGTTTCATCCCTAGTGTGATTTTAGGAAGATGTTCATCCTTTAGGTATTGGTGGAAAATGAGGCCTTTTTTCATCCTTTGATTTGTTCGAGATGAGGTGTTCATCCCTAATGAGATTCTAGGGAGGTGTTCATCCTTAGTAGAATTATAATGAGGTGATTCTCTTTTGAATTAGTTTGCAAATATTAAATATTTGGTTTTGTTATATAAATAAAATATTCAATTTTTGGTAGTTTAATATTTTTTGTGAGCAAATTGAGTCAAGAAGTCACCAAAGTAACTTCTCTTGAATTGGGCAGTTCATGAAAAATATTGAATGTTAGTGTTTGTGTATATTCATGCGAGTATTAGTCGGCCCAAAGGAAGATTAATATTTGGCCGAATTGCATACACACTTGTAATGATAAACATGTGATAATTATAAGGATTTGCTTTGTCGATGATAAATCAATCCAAAGACTGGTTTGTTGTTGGACGTGCTTTATTGTCAATGTTTGATTATTACAACAAGATACCTCTAGCAGTTAATATTACTTGTCCAAAGACTTGATATTGATGGTGCATTGGGTATCTTGAGATTGGTTAAACCACTATTTGAATATATATTATTTATTTTTTATATAATGTGAGCATAATTAGTTTAATTGGACTCCCGAACGGTAAGTGGTTATATTATTGGTTATGCTTTGAAAGATCCAGGGGATATAAATATTATGATCCCACATTAAAGACAATTTTTTGAGACGAGGAACTGCTACGTTTTTGAGGATATTGAGTTTGGGGGGAAGAATAAAATCGGGAACTTTGTCTTAGAGGAAGAATCGGTAACAATTCCAGAACCGATTCAAACAGTTACTTTTGATAAAGTAAGTTCGGAACTTCCACAATGCATTGTTAATGAACCCCTTACTCAAGATGATTTGGTTGTTCATGAAGAACAAACTCAAGATCCTCAAGAACACTGTGCATCATGAACTAATAACTTGCGAGAGATCCACTAGAGAAAGAAGAAGTGCTATTTCGGATGATTACATGGTATTTCTTCGGGAACATGAGGAAAATAATGATATAATGGAAGATGACCCAGTTAACTTCCGTCAAGCTATACAAGGTTCTAACTCTCAAAAGTGGATTGAAGCAATAGGATAAGTATAAGTCCATGCAAGACAATAAGGTTTGGGAACTTGTCCCATTACCGGAAGGTATGAAACTTATTTGGCTTCAAGATGAATATTGTTGATGATTGTATGTATCACAAGTTTAAAGGGAGACAAGTCTAGTCTCAATCGAGTGCCCAAAGGGGAATTTGGAAATTGATGAAATGCAAAAGATTCCCTATGCATCAGTTGTAGGGAGTTTGATGTATGTCCAAGTATGTACGCATCCGGACATAGCATATATAGTTGGGGTTCTAGGCGAGATATTTAAGCAATCCAGGAATAGACCATTGAAAAGCAGCAAAAAGGGTCATAAGATATTTAAAGAGAACAAAAGATTATATGCTCACATATAGGAGGTCGGACCAGTTGGAGATCGATGGGTTTTCGACTCAGATTTTGTAGAATGTCAAGAATTTGTAACTTGCTATGAGGTATCAAATCATGGAATATGGTCGATAAATTTTGTCACGAGGCTGCAAATTGTGAAAGGCATTGAAAGACCACTTAAGTTATATTGTGACAATAAATCAACTTGTATTGTTAAGGAAAGAGTACAAAGTGGACATGATTTCCATAGAACACTTAAGGACAAACTCCATGATAGCATATCCTCTAACTAAAGGACTTCCGCCCAAGGTCTTTCATGAGCATGTTGCTCACATGGGTGTTTTACGGTTTGAGAAATTTGTGGTTTAGTGGGAGTTAGTCATTTTCATATATTTTATGTTCTATGTTTAATTTTATATATGTATACATTGTTTTTTGGACATATTTGGTTATCTATAGATATGCGGTTTTCTTGTTCATTCATTACACTTTGTACATTAAGGTTATTGTATCGATCTCGATAAGTTAAAGTTTGGACCAGTTGAAAATAAACGTGTACAGATCACCTTCACGTAATTTTTCATGCTACACATTTCATGATGAATCCATGTCATTTGGTTATGTTAGGATGAGTAATCTTGTTGGTTTTAGTTGCGATGATGCAATGAAAAGCTGGTTTGGTTCTATATCCTGATATGATTAATGGACAAGACTTTTGGAATATGCTAAAGGAATATAATGACAATTTTGAGCTCATAAAGTATAACACATTTGTAAGGTTGTAAAGACATATATATTTGTGACCAGTGGGAGATTGTTGGCAAATTTTGGGTCATGTATATATATGATACATATTTAAATGTGTTAGGGTCATTATTTATTAAGCCAAATAATAAAGTGATCTAACTAAATTAAAGTTTTGGCTAAAGGCATATGTCATGAAAATAAAATTGTGTAGAGACCATAGAACAATTTCTAATTTGATGAGGGGCCAAATTGGAAATACTAAAACTTAAGTAATTAACCTAATTCTGGTTATCTAAAGGGTCATGGTCCCCTTCTGAGAGCACACACACGAACGTAAGTATCGGTCTCGTTCCTTTCTTTCTATTCCCATCAAGAGAGAAAATCAAGAGGGAAATACAGGTGCTTCTTCAGGTGGAAGACCATAAGATCAATATAGTGTTCTACAAAGACATCATCGTTATGGCTAATTCGAGTACGCTTTCGCATTCAGTTCTGACGATGTTTATCAAGTATGGGATTATGTTTATGTTTGATTGTTAGAATCAAAATCAGGATTATTATTATTATTATTGTTATTGTTTTTCCAACATTATTAATTTTAAAAAGTAAGTAAGGATATAATATCTAATAAGAACAACTCATATGAGTTCCTTTTAAAAATGTAAAAAAAAATTATGATATCACATCAATTTTAAATAGTTAATTTTATTTAATTAGAAATTTTTTAATAAATTTTAATAAATTTATTTTTTCTCATATTATTTTTTCTTGTTTATTTTTATAAATTATTTGAAGAAGTAACTATAAAAAAAATGTAAGCACTTGTTTATTTTTGTAAGTTATTTGAAGAAGTAATTATAAAAAAAATTTAAACACTTATTGTATTACATAAAATTTCTTTAAAAAAAAATTACTTCAAACTACTAATATTTTATTTAAACATCTCAATAAATCACTACAATATACTCTAATTAAAATTATATTACATAGCATAATTTTAATTATATTCATAATTTTATTTAAAAATTCATTATGATAAAATTGGATAAAAATTAACACCCAAACGTCATTTGAGTAAAATTTTGAAAAAAAATATTTTCCACTTGTTTTGCTAATAAAAAATTATTAAAATTAATGTGAAGAAATTCTTATTCTCTAACATCTTCACCGTCTTGATATTTGCAACTTAACAAGAAAACATCGTGCAACTTTCTAGTGGGCAATTATCTCGAAAGCTTGCAAAAAATTTTCAACCTCCTTCGTATCCGACCTCTGCCAACTTTGGTAATATAAGGGAACTTAGGTATAATATGGGGCCTTAAGACTTTTTTATTATTTTTAAAAATATCTGATTTTAAAATACTTATACAAAGAAAATCACACAATACATAAACTTATAAAACAGACTAATTGTTTGGAGGTAGTTGAAACCTTTAGGACTCTCATGTGAACTCGTTGAAAGGAAGACAAACATGGATATAAAAACACATGTAAAAGTATTATTAAATTGTTTACAAAACTCCACTAAAACCTTATAAACAAGACAAATTTTAAGATATGCAGTGATCATTATTGTTAAAATTTGTTACATCATTTATTTTTTCTCTAACTTGAGCATCATAATGTTTTTGCAAGTACATCCTTTTATTAGCATGGTGGAAAAAACCTTGTTTAAATGAATGTGAAATTGTATAATCTCTTTATTAAATTAGGAAAAATAATTAACATTAAAAGTTAATAAAATTAGATATTAACGATTATAAAAATATAATTTATATTTTCATACTATACGAGTCACTCTGGTCCCCTTTGCTTGCCACAATATAGTTTATATTTTGCAATATCATAATATTTACTTTTTTTATAATCTAGATATTTAAATTTTATCACATTCATTAAAGTTGATGTTTTTTCATCATAATATTTCCAACAGGTTGAATATATATTATTGGTGTGGTTTCATGTCCCTACTTATTGCCAACCACCAGAGTGGAAGACGTGAAAGACATAAGATGTCTATTTACAATTAAGCTGGAAAATGTATAAAGTTAAAGATGTGTTTATTTAGCAATATGAATAGTTGAAAGTGTCACGTCCCATATACCATGTCATTTGGTATGATTTAAATATATATTAGGCTACTTCACATATTGCCAATTAGTTTTATGTTGGAATTAGAGCCAAAATCTAACATCTTTCCAGTTATTTTTATGAATCAAAAGTACCCTTTGTCTGATTCGACATATTTCATTGGAGGGAGTGTGTTTTTTCTACATATTACCTGTTGGAACCTTAACACCAACAAATAAAAAATAAATTCATATGTTCACAAAATATATTTCAGTAATAAAAGAAAAATCCTCAACTTTGATAGAAAAGCAAATTTCATTACTCAGATATTTTTTATAGTGCCGACAAACAATAATCGAACCTTCTCTTCCAAATTATATAATTCTTCCCCTTTTTTGCATAATCACATTATTTCCACAATTACAAAAAGACATATACTTTCTTTTGTGACTTCGTAGTTATGAATTGATTTATCCTACAACTACATGTAGACACTTAAGTTCATGATATTCAATTTGTTCCATTTGAAAAAATAAACCCTAATTTTAGAATTTAAAGTTTTGTAAGTACACGCCCTTTCAACCCACTTCCACAATTGTCAAATAAATAACTAAAATAAACTTTTAAATAAGAGACAACTTAGGGTATAAATATATAAATACCAGAATGAACTATAATTTTGTCTTTCTTTTATTAACCCATTGTTCTTCTTCAAAATTATTTACTCTTACTGTGGTTTTTCCCAGTTGTGCTGAGTCGTGTAATGTGCTGCAATCCCTCTTAAACCCGATTAGGGTTTCGATTCGAACAACAACAAAATCTAAGCGAAATCAGCCACACCAATAGCTTCCACCTCTGATTCGTATCTGCAATACCTGTAAGCTTTTCATCCTGTCTGCTTTCGTCCTTTTGTGATTTTTCTGATTGCTCGAAAAAGCGAATTGGCCAGGTAAAATAAGCCTTTATAAGTTTCGATGCTATTCTTCTCGGTTTGCAACGGCTTACCTAGGTTAAGGTTTTCGCGGGATTGAAAAATTCAAGAATTAACCAACAGATTTGATGCATTTCTAATTTTTATTTTCCTTTGAATGAATGACATGCGTCGCTGTTTTCCCTAATACTTTGTTAGGATTGAAGATTGACTCTCTTACTTTCCTTTACATGAATGATATTATTCGCTCTCTTCGATTAGGATTTGATAGGATTGAAGATTGATGCTCGTATTTTCCTTTGCATGATTGATCTGTGTGAACTGGTCAGCAGGGACGTTGTAAAAGTTAATAGTTTGTTTGTTTTCTGAAAGTCCAGTGTCAGTTGAGAATTTGGGATGATTTTGCATTATGAAAGCTCCTGTAGATATACTTCAGCAGCGATTCCACATTTGTTATTTTTTTAAAATTTATTTTACTGTTATTATTATTAAATGCAAAAAGACAGATAGTCTAGTTGAGCCTGTTTGTTTGCATCTTTTATTTTTGGATAAGAGGAGGAAAATAAGAGCTTTTAGTTTAATAGCATAGCATTGTGTTCGAAACGGAACCTGAAATTGGAGAGTGCATAGTTACGAATGATTAATTCTGCTTTCCCTACTGGCTGCCTTCAATCGTCCCTTTTTTCTTCCTGACATGGCATTGTAACAATTAGAATTTAAGCTTTTTTTGATGACCATTAACTTGTAATAGAACTAGGAGGCAAAGGAACAACTTTGTAAAATGCTATGTTGTTGGAAAATATTCATTTTGTCTACAAGGTTTTCTTACCATGTATCAAAAAGCATTATAATTTAGCAATGTACTGAGCCATCATGATGCAATTGCTTTTTTGTGCTGACCATTGCATCTATTTCTTCTTTACAGGAACTGTTCTGTGTTAAATGGCCAATAATTCTCAGCCCTCCAGCATGCAGGTAACATTTCACTCTCAATACCAACCACAAATCTTGTTATGATGCAATATTTGTTTGCTAACTTTTGTTGATTGGTCTAGTGACATACCTGTTTCGATTATGAGAATATTAAATGGTGATATGAACAATAACTCGGGTCTTAATGTTTGACTTCTTTTTTTGTGTTTCCTTTATGGAGTTAATGTTTTCTCGAATTTTGCTGAAAATTATGCTTTTTAATTTTCAATTTTTTTTGTGACTCTCCCCATGTGTGTGTGATGGCTGGGTTCTCAAAGTTTTGGTTCATCCTTATTTATGCAAGTTCTTTTTTATTGTTCATGCTATCAACTACAATTCTTTCTCTCAAAGTAAGAATTAGTCATAATTTTACCATCACTCTTATGTCCTTTTGTCTGCAGTTTCGGCCAGTCATTCAAGCTCAGCAAGGGCAACCATTTGTTCCAATGAATTCACAACAATTTGGACCTGCAGGACACTCTATTCCTTCTTCAAATGTGGGAATGCCAGTCATTCAAGGTCAACAGTTGCAGTATTCTCAACCAATGCAGCAGTTAACTCCAAGACCAATGCAGCCTGGTCATCCTGCTCCTTCATCACAAGCTATACCGATGCCATATATTCAGACAAACAGACCACTGACATCCATTCCACCCCATTCACAACAAACTGTTCCCTCTTTAAGCAATCATATGCCTGGCTTACCTGTTTCAGGAGCAGCTCCTCATTCTTCATATACAGTATGGGCTGCCTTAGTTTTAAAGTTTTACTTTTGTAGTTGATTGCTAGGTTTATATTGAGTGATTGAGTACCTTCTACACTCTAACATCATTTTGCATTTTCAGTTCACACCATCTTATGGTCAGCAGCATGATAATGCAAATGCATTGGCTCAATACCAGCATCCACCTCAAATGCTTGCTCCTCCTGGTGGTCAATCTTGGCCATCCTCTGCATCTCAGAGTGTTGCACCTGTTACATCTGTGCAGCCGGCTGCAGTACAATCATCTGGAGCTACATTGACTGATGCGGTATTATGTTTTATCCATCCTTATTTTTTAATGCACAGTACTGGCTTTATGTTCATTATTTAGTAATTTCCATTTTGTTGGAATTATTAAGCTAAGTATAGCTGTATCCTAAAGCTGTTTTGTATTTCACCTAAGAGCTGTAACTATCTTTGTACCTAGGTTTTTAGCTCAGACTTTGGTACCTTGACTTTTCATTTACTAATTGTATATGTACTTTATCATTATAAATAAGTGATCATATTAGAGGCGTGATTAAGTGACTTCAAAGTTCAGATGCTTTTGTTTGTACAAACTTTACATATATATGATAAAGCTTCTTTGGAATTCGTATGATGGAGTTCCCTTTTCTTAAGGATGTTGTATTTTAGTTGTTATTTGTATGACAATGGCATCAATACTTTCCTATAAGGTTATAATCTATTCTTACAGTGTTAGATTATGTTTTCCGTATAGATGTGTGTTCTAAGTAGTTAATCCAGGTCATTAGTGCCGAATGGCCACCCCCAGAAACCCTAGCAAGATGGTTGCTATTGCAAAGTCTGGAAAACAATACACAATTTATATTTTTATATCATACACATATAAATGCTAAAAACCAGAAAATTGCACAAAATTAAAGGGTAAATTAAGAAATAACAATTGGTAATTCTATTGTCAGAGTGTTATATTATGTTTTCCCCTATAGATATTTGCTATAAGTAGTTAATCCTAGACACTAATACAGAGTGGCCACCCCCAAAAACGCCAGTGGGATGTTGCTATTGCGAAGACTGAAAATCACTACACACAATTATAGTTTTACATCATACAGATACAAATGCTGAAAATCAGAAAAACACACAAAATTAAAGAGTAGATAAAGAAATAATAGGTGTGAATATTGAAAATATCTGATGAAAAGAACTTAAAGAAAGGTGAAAACTGAGAAAGAAGTTGGAAGTTAAGAAGGGGAACACCTAAGTTCTGCATGTTCTTGTTAAAATAGTGAAGTTATAATGGGAGGACAAAAGACTTATAAGGGGCACTTTGGTAAAAAGCTTAAACATTCATGTAAAACAAGGGGAACATGAAGCAGGTAAACAAAAGACTTAATAGGGATGATTTGGTAAAAGGTTTAAATGGGAAAATGGAAAAGATGTCAGCAAATAGGGAAGAAAGAAAATGAAAAAGTTTAAAAGTTAAAAAGCTCAAAATGGAAACGAGGAAGTTATTTTTATAAAGAGAAAAAGAAAACAAAACTTTGAAACAGGTGTGAATTCAATACGCTGAGGTATGGAGAAGGTTTAACCCAGAAGTTGAAATTGTGGTGGCTTACATGTGTGCCCACCATTGATTTTGCCACAAACGCAACACCTGCTGCAACAGCAGAGCCACCCGGCACCAACAAAATCCCTGACTGCTCTTCGCTGGCTTAAGATGTGTGCATCTGACTTTTAAGGAAAGTGTTAGGAATATTATCATTCAGTTCATTGTAACTCTATGTTCCCTAATTTCATTGCGGTTAAGGAAATCTGCTAATGTGATCCTTTTTTTTCATGCCTCTGGATTCAAGATTGTCCAAATATAGCTGTCTAGGTTGAACTTGCATTATTTGCTTGCTGTTAATTTTTGCCATGTCTGAGCGGAGGTATTCATCATAGCATATGTTGTAAAAGAACTGTGATTTTTTGTTATGATATCATTTGAGGCAGATTCTTGAGAGTAGCTAATCGAATCTCAGTAGCCCAAGAAGCTTTTGACTCCTTACATTAATGTGATACAATGCATTACATTTCATCTATGTAAATAAAGTATTCTTATGTTATATTATGATTTCTGATAAAATTGAGCTTTATTATTACAATTCTCAATGTTTTACTCTGACCAATTTTAGGTAACTAATGCTACTAACCAGCCATCCTTATCTGATTGGCAAGAGCACACTTCTGCGGATGGGAGAAGGTATTTGTTAACATAATCATGTTCAGCTTTGTTAGCAAACACTAAATATGTTGTATATGTGTGGAACCAATCTAATTATCTTGTGTTTTTGTAATTCACAATTTTTAGAATCATAATTAGAAGTTATTGTTTTCTCAATTAACCAGATATTACTACAACAAGAGGTCAAGGCAATCAAGTTGGGAGAAACCTTTGGAATTGATGTCACCTATTGAGGTGAGTGGTTTTAATAATTTGTTGTTGTTCTTGTGAATGTCACTTTTATTATTTGTTGAACATGCTTTGAAAGTGTAATGTGGTCAATCAAACCGGTATCATATATGGATGTTAATCTTTTCTACAATGTTTTCAATGATCATAGAAGGTTTATGGTGCGAATATCCTTTTATGTGCATGTGCTTCCACTGATTTGTAGATATCATGGCAAGTCAGGAGAAATTTTAACAACTGCTCTATATGGTCACTGTGAAGGCGGGTTAGCACTTTCTCAAGGCAGGCAACAGTTTGCTATTTACAATCTTATTATTTTTAAAACATAAAATGTGAGATTGGTGTATAACTGGTTATGCAATACCATTAAGTCATGGTTGACAGCACCCTTCCCATGCCCTTCCTCAAGCAATTTTGTAGGGTGTTCTTTATGGTGTGTGTGGTATCAATTGTATCTTTTGCAAGTTTCTTTTCTGTACTTACACACACACACACACTCACACAAAGAAGAGATACAAGGTTGTGTGATTGTGTGTCTATATATATATATATTATCCTTTTGGTTTCCTTTTCTTTGTCCATCTCTCTATTTATTTGCCCCCTTTCCCCTTTTATAATCTTGTGGTGGCTTCTACATTGCATTGAGGTCTGTTTACATATTTAGGTATAGGAATATACAAATTCTGCTTTATTGTATTATTTCTTGTCATTTATTAGTTGTGGCAATATTATCAATTAACATTTAACTCTTCTGGGATGTTTTCTTCTTTGCTTTAGTCGTTACTCCCAACCTATAGTTTTTAGTGGCTGGATGTCGATAATTATCGTCAACTTGATACATGAACTTTCTTGGTTGGTATGCTTTTAGCATTTTCAAATCCCACTAATTCTGCTGGATGTGACAGAGAGCTGATGCATCGACTGTTTGGAAAGAATTCACTTCTTCAGATGGAAAAAAGTTTGTTTCCTCTCCTATTGCCTGATTTTAATGATATATATACTGCACCTTTTTTTTTATGTACTCTTTCTTTGTCATTAATATGTAATAATTCATATAATGATTTATGATTTGTCTTTGACATCTTGTAGATATTATTACAACAAGGTTACTCAGCAATCAACATGGTCAATACCTGAGGAACTTCAGGTTTGTTATTAATGATTATATTTGTATTTGTTTTTAATTTTCTTCTTACCATTTGTTTTCTTACTTCAAGTTGCAATATTTCCATTCAGTTGGCTCGTGAGCTGGCACAAAAAGCTGCAAACCATGGAATGCACTCAGAACCAACTGATACACCCAATGCTGTTGTCTCCTCCGTAGCAACATCAACAGCAGCTAATGCTACTAGCTTGAACACTTCTTTGACATCTAATGGGCTTTCTTCCAGCCCATCTTCTGTCACACCAATTGCAGCAACTGATTCTCAGCAGTTGGTTTCTGGATTATCTGGGACCTCTGTTTCACACTCTATAGTTACCTCAAGCACTACAGGAGTTGAACCAAGCACTGTGGGAACGAGTGCTACACCTACAGTAGTTGCAGGAAGCTCAGGACTAGCTGAGAATTCACCTCAACTATATAAAATGCCACCCATGTATAAAACACTGTTCGCATGTTCATTATTTTTTCCCTCGTGAGTTGAGTTGTAATTTTTCAATTCTGACTTGTGTATTGAAAATTTACCTGCAGTGTTGAAAATCAAGCCTCCCAAGATTTTGCTTCTGTAAATGGATCTTCTCTTCAAGATGTTGAGGTAATTATTGTAATTGATGGACGTTGTTTTATCATTAATTCACATGTAGAGATTCTTATGCTCCGTTTGATAGACTAGAAAGAAATAGAGGTAGTGGAAGGGAAAAGAAAGCAAGAGAAAAATATTAAAAATAAGTGGAAATAGTGGTTGTTTGGTTGGAAAGAAAGAAATAGATGAAACAGAGAATGTACATATAGATTTCTTTTATCGAAGAAAAGTAAAAGAGAAAGAAAATAAAAGTATTTTTAGATTACTTAATTTTAAAACTTATATTATATATTAATATTCTTATTTACTCTTAGTAACATTTATGTATTTATTTATTATTAATATTTATTATAAGCATTTTAAAATCATATGAATTTTTATTGATACTTTTTATTATTTATTCATTATTAATATTTGTTTATTTGTATTTATTATTATTGTTATCGTTATTTAGGAGTAATATTATTATAATAATAAGAAAAACTATATAAAAAGGCCATCATTATCATTGTGTCAATGGATAATCTATTATGGAGGATAAAAATTCAGCCTATATCTTCTCAATTTGCAACATAATTATCTTGTCTTGTAGTAGTTGCCACGCATGTCTTCTCTCTTTTGAGTGGAACATATCTTCTCGAGTATTTATATCCTTTTAGAAGGCGAGAGTATCCCAAGAAAACACATTTAATGGCTTTAACACTTAGTTTATCAAGACTTGGAGATACATTATGAACAAAACAAGTACAACCAAATACATGAGGAGATATATGGAAAAAAGGATCATCTGAAAAAGATAAGAGAATGCCAAATTTGATTTTTATGAGAGTAAGATGACATCCGATTAATCAAAAAACAAGCAATGAGAACTGCATTTTCCCAATGATGAATAGGGACATTAACATTCAACATTAGAGAGCGTGCAATCTCAATAAAGTGTCTATTTTTCCTTTCTGCAATACCATTTTGGTGTGGAGTGTAAGGACAAGTTGATTGATGAAAAATTTTTGGGGAAGATAGGAAAGAAGAGAAGGAGGCAGAAAAATATTCTTTGGCATTATCATTTCTGAGAACTTTAATTATCTTCCCAAATTGATTTTTAAAAAAGGATAGAAAAATGGATAAAAGTTTAGATATGTCTTTCATTAAGTAAACCCAAGTACATCTAGAAAATTCATCAATATAGGTTACAAAATACCGAAAGCCAAAAGAGAAAACACGACTAGGTCCCCAAACATCATATTGAATATTTGAAAAAGGAAAATTACATCGAGTTTCAGATTATTTAGGAAAAGTAGACCTAACATGTTTTCCTAATTGACAAGATTCATATTCTAAAGCCCGAAGATGTTGAAGATTAGGAGCCATCACTTTCAACTTAGATAGACTTGGTGACCTAGATGATCATGCAAAAGTTTAGGGGCAGGAGAAACCAGACAAGACACTGAAGGACTTTGTTTTAGATAGTACAAATCACGTGATTCATGTCCTTCTCCAATCAGACGACCCATACCATGTTCCTGAATAATAAAAGAATTGGAAGTAAAGGTTACAAAACAATTCAAAGAACAAGTTGACTTAGAGAGATCAAGTTATAAGGGTAATTAAGAATGAAAAGAACAAAATTTAAATTTATAGATGAGGTTAAAGGAACTTGGCCAATTCCTTGAGATTTCACTTTGGATCCATTAGCTAAAGTGATTAAGTGAGGAATTTTAGGATAGGACATGAAGGAAAACGAGGAACTATTTACTAGATATATGATCAGAGGCACCTGAATCAAGAATCCATGGGTTCTGACCTTCCACAAATTGAGAAATGCATGCAGTTGAAATACTTGGCATTGAAGAGGATTGACCTGGACCGCTAAACTTTCTAGATTTGAACTTCAAAAACTCCTGACACTCCTCATAAGAAATCTTCATTTCTGGCTTCTCCGATTTAGATGCATGGGTAGTCTTGTCAGGAAAACCATGCAAGGAATAACAATTTTTCTGCGTGTGTCCCATCCTCTTACAATAGGAGCATTGGGGACGATCTTTCGTATTATCACGTCCTCCTTGACTGTGGCGTCCTCCCCCTCGACTACGAGGAGCAACCATAGCAGAAGTTTCAACAGTCTCCACCTAATTTTCATCTGCCATGAGATTAGGATCCTGAATCAACCTAGTGACAAGATTATCCATTGATGAAATCTGATCGTCAGCTAGGATATGATCACGCACGTGATCAAAATGAATGTAGACTCCTCAAAATTAGAACCATATATAGCTTATCGAGTTTGGTGTTTTACTCCTCTAAAGTATTTGCTACAAGAAATCTTTTTAATTCTTCAACAACAACCCTAGCTTTTGCTATGTAAGCCATCATGTCGTGATTGGTTTGCTTAAGTGACGTCACTTTTTGAGTTGCATCAAGGAGACGTTGAATATCATTAGCAAAAATGTCTTGATCTTTTTCCCAAAAGAAAGAACAGGTTTTGAATGACCTAAGAGGCTTAAGAACTTCCGGTTCCACAGCCTGCCATAAGATTGCACAAAGTTGGAAGTGTATTTTCTCCCACTAAGACCTTTCTGCAGCAGAAATAGAGTTTACATCCTTCTCCAAATGGTCGTGATGCCTTTGACCGAGAAACCATAACTCAACTGATGCAGACCAGGATAAGTAATTTTTTCAGTTGAGACTGATACTAGTTATGGTGGGAGTAGCAGAGAAGGTGAAGGCAATGGATGAGGTCATTTGAACTAAAAAAGACAAATAAAGCCAACGAATAGGGTTACCCATGGGACCTTTCACACAATTCTCAAACTAGGAAACTAAGGGCAGCACTAGACTCGGAGGATGCCGACGAATTAAATGGAGGAGGTCGGCCTTAATTCCGACCACTAGAAAGCGGTGCGTGGGACACATGCGTATGCGCCTGAGAAGGCTCCCCGGGACGACCGCGAGTGACGGAGCGTGGGGCAACTGATGGAGGAGCGACTTGCTAGGGTGAGTCATGCTTCTCAAGGCATGCAAAACCCCTCACCGGTGGAGACGGTGGCCGGTGGTGACGACGGCGAACAACCATGGTTGCCGGAGATGACAGAGGTGACCGGAAATCAGTGCGGGATCTTACTCGCTCTGATACCAACTTGAAAAAACTTATTTAGGGTTTGATACAGTGACCAAGACACTGATACATTGTATTTATTGAAAAAGAGATATAATAGAGAGGATATGGGTCTCAGTCCAAACCTTTAACCCTAGTCTAAGGAACATACAAAAAGATATATGAAACAACAAATCTTAACACAAGTGTTTGTTTGATTTCCTTCTCATTTTTTTGTTTCAAAATTTTTTTCCTAGATTAGTTTTATGCTACTCTGCAATCAATATCTCATCCAAAATTTATTACATTCGGAAAATTGTAATAAAAACAGGTGTTTTAAAAACCAAAAAATAGGGACACCTAACAAATGTTTTCTCATTCTCCTATTTTGTGGTCCTAGCTCCAGGGTGTGCGTTGCCTAGAGTAATGCTTGTTTTGTTGATGCTAAAAACATTTTTTTGGAAATAGAAATACTTGAAATAGATAATAGGAAAATAAAGAACTGTTTTTGAGAGCTTGAAATCATTTTCTTGTGTTCTCTTATTTATAGGAGATAAATATACAAATTCTGAGATACAATTAATAGAGAAATGATTAAACCTAGAGAAGATAAAGAGATGCATTCTAGGAACTAGGTCTATAGTTAGATACAACTAATCTCATAAATGCTCAACAAGATACAACTAATCTAATAAATACTCAACAGAAATCAATCACACCCTAGAGTCTTCAAATTCCACAATGAATGTATTGGATTTTGTGTATGGGAGTTATCTTCCTTTTTAATCATTAGATTTAACAAAATAATTTTTCCTGGCCCGTTTGTTTCCTATATTTGAAAACTGTTTCCAAAACTAATATCTCTTTTAAATTTTCTTAACCAAGAAAATAGAAAATTTCTTCTTCCGTGCAATTTCACATCTTCCTTGCACTTTCCTAGTACCCCTTCCTTCCTTTCAGTTTCACATCTTCCTACCCTATATTCTTTAAAACTTAGTTTTAGAAAACTGTTTTATAAACTAAAACCAAAACACATTGAAACACGCAGTGAATCTCTTACTTTCAATTTTTTTAGTTTTTTCAAGTTGTTACCAAGGCTCGTGATCATGGGGGCTTTGCTTCTGCATCCAAGGTTATCAAATTCAAGAGTTTACATAGACTCATTAGATCTTCATAGACCAGACTTATAAACTTGACTTGTAGACTTAGAAGAGTTTATTTCATGCAAAAAATAATATACCAATTCAATATTTAAATATCATAATTTAGTAAAGTAGTAATCAATAATTCCATGATATACTATAATAAGCATTTTTACTCTTAAGAAGTGATCATGTAGCTACATTGACATCAACTGATTTCGAACCAATCCCAGATCCAAATATTTTATAATTTCAGGAAGCAACTAAACATGAAATAAAAAATTAAGGAAAAAAAAAATCTAAACAGTAAATGATTGTCATATTGGTGACACATACTAAATCTAGATAACCCAACATCTACCAAACCAAATAAAACATGAAGAAGAAAGAATCAAAACGAAAGAGATACAAGGCACCAAGGATGAGCGAAGGAAGATGCATAGCCCTAAACATCATGCGACATGGAGTAGAACATCAGATAGACATGAAGTCCTAGACAATGTGATGTGGAGAAAAGAGAAACGCTGAGCTACAGTGGAAGATGCAGAGCTGGGGCACAAGATGCACACAAGGAGATGTGGAATTGGGGAAAGATGCACTCAAGAAACAAAATGGAGAGGAAGATGCACTTTTTATCACCACGAAGAAAATGCAATCTAACTCGCTGACCTGGTGGTAAACTTGCGTGTCTGGTTGAGTTTACCCGAATCAGCATGAGTTTAAACCATAAATGACTTTACACAGTGGCTGCTGTTCTGACTCACAAACTTGACTAAGTTAGCAAGTTAACTTGTTAATTCGTGATGTTGATAACCATGTCTGAATCTGAATTTTATCCACCAATTTTGTATTTCAAATCACTCACTCCTAAGGTTTGGAAACACCTAGCACCTACTGTGAATATTAAGCCCAACATAAGCATTCATGCACTTACACAAGCCAACAAGAATTAAAGAACAAATACATGAAACAGACGCTGTAATACTGGAGATGAAAATATGAGAGAAGAGCTTGAGTGACTAATTATCTCTTAGCTAATCCTTTATTTTTAGGAGAAAATACATAAGTGTAGAGGCAAAAGGCTATTCCTAGGTGCCAGAAGCTAACAGGTAAAAAAAAGCTTCAGAGAAGACAAGTTAACTTATCTCAACACGTAAGCAATAAAATAAACTTTTCTAACAGTAGTAAAAAGGTACTACAGTTGTTTACCTTTTCAAACTTTGGTTCAATACCATGTTAGATATTCAACTACTTGAAAAACTAAACTGTTAAGAAATTGACTCAACCATGTGTAGTGGGGTTTGTATGCAGATTGAAAATTTATAATGAAAACTACAACTGCCATGGGTACCAATGGTATGGTGGCTGCCATGGCCAGCCATCTGAAACCAGCTACGTAACTGCCATTAAATTTTGGCCTATCAGTTTTTGCCATGGTTGCGATTTAACAACACTGATCACAATTGACAATAGAAAACTCTTGGGAGACAATCTCATTAATTTGTTGTCCAATTAAGAATCTGTATTTAATTTACATGTTATTTGCTTGCAACTCTAGCAGGAAGCTAAAAGAGCATCGGCTGTGGTTGGGAAAAATAATGTAATTCCACCTGAGGAAAAAACCAATGACGATGAAACCTTGGTATATGCAAATAAGCTGGTAAGAATTCATATCATAGAAACTCCCTTTTATTAAAAAGCTTTAAAGACATTTTATTCTTTTCTATAATTATATATAATACTGCATTAAATTATTCTCTCTCAGGAAGCAAAAAATGCATTTAAAGCGCTTCTGGAGTCTGTGAATGTTCAGTCTGATTGGACCTGGGAACAGGTAGATGGCATTCTTTTAATTTTCTACTTTGTTTTGTGTGCTAATGCTAACTATCTGTTTTAAATTGTAATTCAGGCAATGAGAGAAATCCTCAATGACAAAAGATATAACGCCCTAAAAACACTTGGTGAGCGAAAACAAGCTTTTAATGAGGTGAGAGACAGGTCTCAGTCAAATTCTTGGCTCTACCTTGAAGTTGATATTTAAGTTTGCATCAATCAGCTAATTCAGTTGCCCAATATAGTTTCGTATCATTTTCTATGAATTTGTAATGTTTCAGTCTGGCTTGGTAATGTTGAATGAATTTAATCTTTCTTCAGTATTTGGGGCAAAGGAAGAAGCTGGAGGCTGAAGAGAGACGCATGAAGCAGAAAAGAGCCCGTGAAGAATTCACAAAGATGTTGGAAGTATGTTGAATAGAATACATGATTAATTTGTTCTTTATTAGTTAACTGCTTAACTCTGCATATTATCCCTTCAGGAGTGTAAGGAACTTACATCGTCCATGAGATGGAGGTATGTCTGCATGTTTGGTAATAATTTGTTTCTAGTTGGTCTCCTTAGGTTGAAATAATCCAACGTAAATTTTCTAATTAATTATTTACTGTAATCAGCAAAGCCATTAGTATGTTTGAAAATGATGAACGATTCAATGCTGTGGAAAGACCAAGAGATCGAGAAGATTTATTTGAAAGCTACATGGTGGAACTTGAGAGGAAGGTGAGAATATGTTACACTTTACTTCTTTATGAACCTTTGCATTCATGACATGACATTTAAATGTGGATCTTGTGCCCAAGAAAGCTGACAAAATATTTGTGAATTCTCTCTACCTGTAAATTTGGGAAGAATCTTGTTTTATTTGGTGGGTAGTGGACTTGACTGGCAAGATGTTATGATCAGTTGGTCACATTGTAGCACTTTAAATTTTGGTTCGTGTGTTTCTTTCATATAATCAAGGGAATAAGTTGGATTGTATTATTGGCTTTAGTAAATATACATTGAAATTCTTAAACCATTACTTTTAGTAAGTTGGATTGTATTATTGTCCAGCAGTGATCAAGCTTGCATCTCTCCATCTTATGCAAAAACCATTACTTTTTGGATGTAAATGTAATTTAAGGGCACTTGTGGTTTTGTAATTTGTTCACATATTTTTCAGTGTATTTAGGCTGTTATTTGACTGCCTTTTCTGAGGAACTGACTTTGTGTGCCTTATTATGGCCGTGTTATTTTCCTGTCTGTTGCATTGAAGGGCACCTAAAATTTATTAAATATATATTTAATTTGTAACTTAAATTATGGTTGAAGTTGAACCACTTAATGTAATTCATTTGAGTCGATACTAACTGTTAAGGTTCCAACATAAAACCAATTGGCAATATGTGGAGTAGCCTAACATGTATTTAAACCATACCAAATGATATGAGGTAGGCGATGTGGGACTTTCAACACACCCCCTCCAACGAAGCCTGCCGGACCAGGCAAAGGGTACTTTTGACCCAACTAAAGGACAACTTTTGGCCCATGACAATAACCGGAAAGATGTTAGGCTTTGGCTCTGATACCATGTTAAGGTTCCAACATAAAACCAATTGGCAATATGTGGAGTAGCCTAACATGTATTTAAACCATACCAAATGATATGAGGTAGGCGATGTGGGACTTTCAACACTAACAATAGAATGATGTGAACATATGGATGGTAGAAACTAATAATCAAACTGAAATATCACTATCATTTACTGAAATCCACTCGTTCTTTCTCCACTGTTGAACATGGATTCAAGAAACAGGGAATGTAGTTAGTTACATTACGGAAATAGAGCCTTAGACTATTCAAGGTGCCTACCCTGTTCATTTTGAAGGCTTATTTCTTATACCTAAATTCTAATCATTTTCCATCTTCTTTAATGCCTTCCTCTGTACTGTACTCTCACTTGCTTTCTCTGTAAGTTAGTTTGTTGCAGCCCAAAGCTCCATTCTTCCCTTCCTCACAAGTCCTCAGTTGCCAGGGCTTAGATTATTTTGTTACCCCCTGCTTCTCCTAAATCTCATGATGGGAAAAATAACAGCTATATTGGTGTGAAATGTTTTCATAGGCTTGGTTGCTTCCTTTGATGGAGATTATGGTGTTCAAGTACATTGTTGAGTACTGAAAAGGTAGTTATATGTTGAGAAATTTACAAAAAATATAAAATGCTTTGATAGCATTAAAAGGAAATATTGCATGATATTTATGCTAAAATTTAATGTCCAACTGTTTCTACTACATCAAGCAAACAACGAGTCAATGACTGAAAATAGTTTGCCAACTTGGTTTCCATTCACAAATTATATAAGCCCCATTCATAGAAGCAAGAATAATTTGAAACCTTAACAATTGGCCACATTGATACACTAAAGTCCAAGCCCATTGGCAAATAAAATAAAACCTAAAACATAATTACTAAAAGGCTATTGCTCTGATGTTTTGCAGAATGTAATTTCCTTATCATCTTGGAGTCCAAATTGCAGGCTTACATGTTTGATTGTTACCATTCTTTCAGGAGTTTGATGTTTGAAAGTTGTTGATAGCACTAACATAAGATCCAATTTCGTCATGCCCTGTAAATTTTGTAGTCAGCGTATGAATTAAGAGCAAGGAGAAGAAGAATCATAGAACCTATTGTTAACAACTTACTATTTTAACTACGAACAGATTTTACATGAGGTTGATGAGTCCTGCCTCTGTTGATTGTTTTAAATATTGGGTGGATGCTTATAATATTGACGAGTGGTTTGCTTAATCTGGATTACCGTGTTGTTATATTTTGTTCCAAAGAGTGAAAAGAAAGCAATTGGCACTTGGCTCCGGGGAGAATGAATAATTGTTTTGAAACAAATATAACAATGAGACAGTGGCGAGTCGACTCTTGATTTTAATTGAAGTTTCTCTTAAAACCTGAACATCTACAATTTGCAATAGGTGTACTTCAAATTTTATTTCATGACATTCTTAATGTTATCTTTTCTGTGAAAACTTTAGGAGAAGGAAAATGCAGCGGAGGAACACCGGCGGAATATAGCAGAATATAGAAAATTTCTGGAGTCCTGTGATTATGTGAAGGTGCTTTTTTTAAATATGAAGAAGTCAATGTTGGTCCTTACGGTTCCTATGTCCTTGAACCATTTCCTTTACTATTTGCATTTCATTTTAGGTTAATAGTCACTGGCGAAAAATCCAAGATCGGTTAGAAGATGATGACAGATACTTGCGCCTTGAAAAAATTGACCGCTTGCAAGTTTTTAAGGTATATTTTCTTTTGATTGGTCAAGTATGTTGGATCTATAAACTGAGATTTGCCTTGGCAGGAAGGTATATTTTCTTTTGATTGGTCAAGTATGTTGGATCTATAAACTGAGATTTGCCTTGGCAGGACTATATTCGGGACTTGGAAAAAGAAGAAGAGGAACAAAGAAGGATACAAAAGGTAGAACCTAACTTATGTGTAGTGGTTATGATTTAGTTCATATGCTTGTTTGTATATGCACTTGTGATTGTAATGTATAGGATCGAATACGTCGGGGTGAAAGGAAAAACCGTGATGCTTTTCGCAAGTTACTTGAAGAACATGTTGCTACTGGAATTCTTACCGCTAAAACTCAATGGCGAGAATATTGCTTGAAGGTAATAAAACTTTGGATTGTTACACAGAAATATGGAATTACATGGAAAGAGAAATAATGTATGTTTTCCACTTTGTAGGTCAGGGATTTACCTCAATATCAAGCTGTTGCATCAAATACATCAGGTTCCACTCCAAAAGATTTGTTTGACGATGTTGCAGAGGATCTTGAGAAACAGGTTATAGAATTTGTTTCTTGTAATTTCTTAGAAGTGTTGATAATGAGTTTGTTATTGATATGTTTTGTTTAAGGGTTTAAGCAGTCTTGGTTGGGTTGAATAAAGTCTAGTTTTTACTCCAAGTTACCCAACACAATTAAATTTTTTTGTGCTGGGTTGAGTTTTTTTTTTTTTTTTTTTTAATTTAGTAATAATTGGGTTGGGTCATTGGGTTTAGAGGTGTCAATACCGTGTTTGAACAAGTTGGATTGAAAAAAATTGAAAAATTTCAATTATAAATCAAAGCCATAATTAAAAATAAAAAATAAGACACATCTAAGGGTGTCAATTCACGTAACCCATCAACTGTGGTGGGTTAAGTGGTGTTGTAAAATATTTGACTCACCAAAAAATGAGCCGGACTAAGGTGTCCCATTTTTAATGCAACTTGTGCTGAATCAAATTGAGTGAGCCGTGTTGACTTACTTTGACACCCTAATTGGATTGATTAATTGGAAAAATCATCCCTTCTATAACTTTTAACAAAAAAGAAAAACCTTACAATCATTATTTTTTAACATAAATATAAACAATAATTCTTAAAATACTAAGATATTGAAATAATAATCACAAATCTATTTTACAACTTACAAAAAGTGGTCCCTAGAAAGGATGTAAGGAATAAAATAATTATTCTAATAACACGTGATATGAAAATTTAGTCTTAATATTCATATGATGATAAAATTATTTTCTCTACATAGTAAAATTATTAGATAAATAATATTTTTATTATATAATTGGGTTGGGGTTGGTTCATTGGAATTGAAACTCATAAACCCATTACGCAATTCTCATTGGGTGCACTACCCAACTTAATGGCCTAATCCAACCCCCAAAAATATAATTGGTTGGGATGGTGCAGCCTGCTTACACCCTGGTTTTGCTGTTAGAAACTAGAAGGATATTGTTATGGTCTATGCTCGACCGGTTTAACCGGTCTAGAAACTGGTGTGATGCTTTCAAATAACCGGATTTTAATTAAATCTAAACAAAATTGGTACAAAACAGGATATGTATTTGGGTTGAACCAGTTTTGGTAAAGAAAAAAAAATTTAAGGATCAAAATTTTTTTAATATAATTTTTTTATAAAAGATATAATATATTTTAATTTTTTTTCTTATTTTTTATATCATATTAGTTATATTAACTTTAAATAACAGTTATTTTATCGTATTTTTATCAATTATTCATCTTATATTGTCTAATATATTTTATATTTGTAACCTTTGTTATAATTTACGGTTATTATGATAGTAACCTTTATTATTTTTCTTTCTTTTATAAAAAAAATGTTATTATTAATAAACTTATTATATATTTGTTATATTATAAAAATATAATTTTATTAAATTCAGTTGGATCTCAGTTCAATCTTTAAACCCTGAATCCATGTCTTAACCGGTTCAGTGACCGGTCCAGTTTTAAAAATATTTGTATATGCTACTGAGCTGCAGAATTACTGTTATTTGAGTCAATCGTTCATAAGTAATATGTCTATTGGTGTGAAATCCTGTTTTGAATAGGAAGAAAGTAAATTCTGTCCATTTGAATTTAGTTTTATTTTATTTTATTTTATTTTATTTTTTGCTTCAATTGATTTAAATTAAATTCAAGGAGATAATATTGCTTTTATATTTTAAATTTAGTGTCATTATTTAATGTTTCTGGGATGGAACTGAATTTAGGTAATGAAGTACTAAATTGTTAGTATTATGATATCTATGTTGTAATGCCAAGTTGTTAAAGAGTATTATAGTGTGTGTGGAGAAAGTTGTTTCTGAATTATCTGTTTTTGACATGATTTTGTTTTACAGTATCATGAAGACAAGACGCTCATAAAAGATACAATTAAGTCAGGCAAGGTAGGCATCACAAAGATCTTCATTACATTTTATCTGTTGCATGTTTGATGACAACCCTGCTTACCCAAGTCTCCTGTATTCAAGTAGATCATTGTAGTGACTACATCAGTATTTGAGGAGTTTAAGGCTGCTGTCTTGGAAGAAGCTGCATGCCAAACAATATCTGACATCAATATAAAGGTTTATTTCAATTGTAACTTTCACTTGATTTCCTTTCTTGCTCTTAAAATATAAATTATGTAACATGTGGATTCCAAATAACTGACCGTCAGTTATTCTCTTGGTGTTTTAGCAGCTAATTCATTTACAGCGCAAGGCGATATCAGATCCTCATTATTTGTTTTGACATCTCTAGTTAACTTCAGCTGCTATAGAAAATTGGAAGACATAATTTTTTAAGTTTGTTTTGCATGTTGTTGATATGAAAGTATCTTTATTGTAAAATATAAAATCTGTATAATTGTTGAGTTTGTAAATTCAATATAAAATTTATTTTCTCATTTTATCAATTGTTATACGCATCTCATGATGTTATTGATTAACTTCAATAATATGTTCATGTTGAAAAAGTCTTTAGTAATAGTTTGCTTTCAACCAGATGGCCTATTTAACGTTGTTTATGCCTTTGCAATATGGATTATCTGAATTAGACAATTTGCATCTCTTTTGTAGCTTATATTTGAAGAGTTATTAGAGAGAGCTAAAGAGAAGGAGGAGAAAGAAGCCAAGAAGCGCCAACGCCTGGCTGATGACTTTACTAACCTGTTATATACATTCAAGGTAAAGATTCTACCAGTCCTGATATATGTTTCACATCGTTTGGCTAAATAAATTGATATTAAGCATCATATTTTACTTTTATAGGATATTACTACTTCCTCAAAATGGGAGGATTGCAAGTCACTTTTTGAGGAGACTCAAGAATACAGGTATACTTAGTTTTTATTGTTTTATGTATCTGGTGCAATTGTTCCAAGTACAGTGTGTGTCCATGTTGGATGACTTTTTGTTTGATCTTTTCCCATCCTGTACTGCCCAAATAGGTCAATTGGGGACGAAAGCTATAGCAGAGAAATTTTTGAGGAATACATTTTATACTTGAAGGAGAAAGTTAAAGAGAAGGAACGTAAGCGCGAAGAGGAAAAGGTGCATAATTTTATCTGTCACAGGTTTTGTTTATTTGTTTTTTTATTTTAATGCAGAATATATACTTATAAAAGAAGAGATGTATTGTGTGAAGGAGCTTGTTAGTTCATATGTTAACTTTATCCTTATCTTAATATCAAACTGCTAACATTTTAAGAATTTTGAACAACACAAATTCGTAAAGTCTTCAATTATTATTCAATCTGTAGATCTTTAGACATAATTTCAGTAGATTTCATAACAGTAACATCTGTACATGTTTTGACATATTTTCTAAGACAATCTGCTATTGTAAGCCTCAACTTTCTTGTTTTTATTGTATTGTCATGATCTGGTTTCGACGTCGAGATGGCCTTTTGATATTTGCGAATTGATATTAGATGAGATATTGAATCATATGTCTTGCTTTAATATTGTGGACATGTGTGATCCTGAAGATGAAAATCAAAGAAAAGAGATGTCTGTTTCTTTTTTATTTCTTTATACCTGTGTTCCTCGATTGCCCTTGGTTTTTCGGTACCAATTTTCTACTCATCATAAGATTGCAATTTTAGACAATCGTGTGAATTTTTTTTGTGAATTTTTTTGTTTCCTTTCACCTATAACAAATTGAACGTAGCGGGGAACTGCATTAATATTAATTATTATTTGTAGTTTAGTGTTGATGTTGGAATAACATTTAAAATTATAAATAATTGTTGCAGGTGAAAAAGGAGAAAGAAAGGGAAGAGAAACGGAAGGAGAAGGAGAAGAAAGAAAAAGATAGAGAACGCGAAAAAGATAAGTCCAAGGAACGACATAGGAAGGATAAGGATGAAACAGATAGTGATAATCAAGACATGGGTGACGTCCACGGTTACAAAGAGGAGAAGAAAAAAGAAAAGGAGAAGGAAAGGAAGCATCGGAAAAGGCATCAGAGCAGCATAGATGATGTGGATTCTGAAAAGGAAGAGAAAGAAGAATCTAAAAAATCACGAAGGCATGGCAGTGAACGCAAGAAGTCTCGGAAGGTATGAAATAATTTTCCATTTCTATTTTATTGTATGTCTTTTATGCTTGGGCATAGGCATCTGAAATGTGAGACTATACTCCTGCAGCATGCAAACTCTCCTGAATCGGACAATGAAAACCGGCACAGAAGACACAAGAGGGAGCACTGGGATGTATCCAGGAAAACTGGGGGGCATGAGGAACTTGAAGACGGAGAACTCGGTGATGATGTTGAAAACTAGTTGTTCCTGTCTAACCTTTTTGCAGTTATGAGATCAAAAATTTCACCCCCAACTTTAGATGATATTGACTTTGTCAAGAATTTAATCTTTCTTGTTAGTTGTCTGGACACGCATGTGAATTTAAGATCCTCATGTAAAGTTATCTTTTAGTCCTTGTTATAGTTTCGAATATTATTTTAGCTGCGAATTACATGTACCAAGACCGGTTTTGCAAATGCATATCTTAATTACATGTATCATAACCTTCCGTTTGTATGTTCAATGTCTGCAGATTTGTGAATAAATACTGAATCCTTAGAGATCCTATAGATTTTTTTATTTGTACGCTTCTTCCGAAATTCAATTATAAATAAAGCTTAACTATTTCGAAAAGTTTCTTTGATACATTGAGATTTTAGTTTCAATAAATATTGTATCCATATCGGCTTCTAATCAAAAGTATTTTAAAAAAAGAATTAGTTTAAATAATAGAAATAAATTATATTATTTTTTTTATTAATCTAAAAATTAGTTAATTTTATTTATGAGTTAGGGAAAGATGATACAATATTACTATTCCGACCGAAAATAAACAAAATCCAAGTTCAAAATGAGGGGTTTTCCTAGTTTCAGGATTCTAATCGAGAAAGATTGCTAGACACTAGAAGAATTGTTATGTATTTCGTGTCGAGGTTCCAATCATTTCTAATACAATTTCATTGTGGATGTTATCTAAAATTGAATCGGTGATCTCAATGCCAATGTGCTTGACGTGGGGTTCGAACTTGCTCCACTCCATGATTGAATTCAAGTAATCCAAAGTCAGTAAGTTAGTAAGGTTTGCTCCACCTACAGCTACAGCTTGTTGGCCCCATTTGTTTGTTCTCTGACCAAGGAGCTTTCCAATCTGTAGTGGCCCCATAAAATGTCTGTAACCTCTCTTTCTGTCGTCTTCTGTTGGAAGGGTTATGGCAATATCTTTCACACAATCAAACAGCATCTTCTTTATCCTATGCAATACCCTTTTAGATTTCAACATCTGGGAAACATCATTAGTCCCAGGAACAAGAACCTCTCCTAACTCCCTACTACTTGTACAATTCCCTTTCTTCCTTGACTCCTCAAATAAACCACCCCAGATAGCAGCTGCTGATAACAACGAGTCCCCTCTGATTTTCTCTGGCAGAATATCACCACAACTCCGTATTCTCTGTTGCATTCTCCAAACATCCTCGCTCACTGTTCCATCAGCAGATATAACAATCTTATCCTATTCATACAACCTTACAAAATCATGTTACAGTATAATCTAAGACCACCACATGTCTAAAGATTGATCGAAACCATGAACATGTGGTTGGTAGTACCGGACTATATGATAATTTTCAACCATATTGAACCTGGTTTTTAAAAAGGCCAAAGAAAACAACATACCATTTGGAACTCTTGGTACAGGAATCTTCCTCAGTAATTCCTGATCACCTTCTAAGCATCTCTGCCGCTGCCTTCTATTTCTAGTAAGGCAGCAAAACCAATTAATAATTTTTTTTTAACGAAGGAAAGTAAGGTTAATAAAATGTCTAAGAATTTGAGTTCCTACCTCTGCTGCGGTCCCATGTTGCATATAGTGTGGGAATAAAACAAGTGCTGCTGTTTATGTGACAATACGGAGGTTCCCTCTTCATCAATATCTTGGCATGAACTGAACATAGTAAATCTGCTATCTGACGAAAACTTAAGAATATGATCGAACCGGGTACGTTCAAGGACACCTTCATGTTTGTTTCTTTGGTCATACTCATGAACCTTGGTTAGAACACGTTTGCTTTCTTTGTTGAAAGCAAGCTTCTTATATAGAGCTTTTAGGACTTGACAAATTGGGAGAAGAGCCTTTTTCTTTTTGTTTAAGCCAGATGTGGTTGGTATCTCTGAAGTGTTGCTTGAATCTCCATCATTGAAGCTCCATCTGTTGGAATACTCTCTTTCTGAAAGGTATACCTCTAGTATGAAAGGTTCTTGCTCCTCGTTGAGAAACTCTCCTAGTCTTTTAGGTGGTTTGAGTGTTGCAGAGGCCATTTGAGGTGACTATGTTTATTGGCGTGAAAGTGTAATGGATATTTGGTAAGGTCTATGGAAGGAGTAGAAGATTTTGCAGTTAAAATGAGGATAGAGAGCAGAGGCATATAAGAAAGCTTTGGCAGTTTTTGACCTGTGAGCCACTGGTACCACACATATAGATAGGATACAAATTCTAAATGAGACAAAACATACATCCCAATATCTTAATCCAACTATATAGGATTATTGTAAATAGTAAAACTTTCCATAAAGTTAGTATGTTGAACTCCAATATCAAACTTTTAAATTAACATATAATAATTGTCCAAAGTTTGTATTATTAGCTACCAAAGTCTAATAAGAGTCTAATAATCGAAGTTAAATCATATTTAATAAAATTATATTTTTATATTTTATTTAATAATATAATAATATATTAAGCATAAATTATATTTATTATTCATTATAATAAAAAAAGAAAAAAATTATAATTATATTGAAAGTTGTTATTATCGAGGCATATAATAATTTAAAAAAAATCTTTGACATATTATATAATCAACACACTATTAGTTATATTATTTTAAAAAAATTACAAAATTAAAATAAAATATAATAATAATCATTCCCAAGAAAAAAATAATAGTTATAAATTTCAATTAAAATATCTTATTTTTCTTTCTTTTATTTGATAAATTTAATCCTTAATTTTATAATTTTTCTATTTGTTTTCTATATTTGTTTTGGATAATAAAGTGCAATGTGTTTATGTTACAATCCTCTTTAATTATAAATGATTTTAAATATTGATGAATAAAAACAAAAATAAATTGAAAGTGAATTGAATTTAATATGAAAATTTGTAAATAACCTTATAATTTAAATATTTAAAAAAATATGTAGGTTCCATCTCACAATTTCCTTGCACATAATGTGAGGACCTAGAGAGACTATGTATTAAAATGTTTATTCTATTTTTTTTTTTAATGAAGGACTAATCATTAGATATATTTGTATGTATACTATAAATTTGATCTTTCATTTTTTTATTTCTTTTAAATTTTTAAATTTATTTATTAATAATATATTATTTATATCTTTAAAATATTTGATTAGTAAAAATTCAGAACTGCAAAAAACATAAAGTGATAAACTGACATCATGAAAAAAAAATTAAAATAAAACAGTAAAATAAGTATAGTGAGTAAATGTGGTTTGTATAAAATAAATGAAACAAAAATAATATTAAAAATGTTATGTTAGAAAAAATAAAAACATTTTATCCTTGAAAAGAAAATTAAAAAACTGTCTTTAATATATATATATATATATATATATATATATATATATATATATTTAAATCAATGAGATCGAACAATTTGACCAATTTTTATTTTTTTATTCTACTCCAATTTTGAAAAAGAATTTATGGATTCATATAATTTTAAGAAACAACATATCATTTTTGAACTAATTCCTTGTTGAATAAGTTAAATTCCATTGTTGATTATTTTTTAGGTTTAATATTAGAAGATTTGAATAATGAAATCAATAGTCCAAAATACTAAGAGAACACATTCGCGAGTATGTCTCTTCTTATATATTATATAACTTTTACAGTTTTATTTCAAATTTTTAAAACCAACATAATTTTTACAATCATGTATGACACATCATCGATTTTTATTTTATTTTGCACTACAATTAATAGTATAATATGAATTATGTATAAAGGTTACTTTTATACAGAAAATTACAGTATTAAGTAGTTAAAAATTATGACAAAATACAAAGTTTAAAATAATTATTATAAAAATAATAAATTTATGATATACAACATTTGTAAAATATAAAATTATTTTATTAGTTCTGACTTGTGATTCTTATATATATATACACCATCACTAATAATTTTATAAATTAATTAAATCACTCATATTTTAGTATGTTTACATTATATAAATTTTGACTAATTGAAACAATGCATTAAATAATTTTATATTAGTATATGTGAAAGAAAATTTTAATTTTATTATCAATTTTTTAAAATGATTAAATAAAGAGATATTAAACAGTAAAATATTCGATAATCTATTCAATACATAATATAAATATTTTTTTTCTTTGAAACATTTATCGGTCTTCTTGGGGTTACTTTTGTTTTCTTCTGTATATTTTTTTCTAACTTACTCATTCCTAATCATATATTGTCTAATATTCAAACGCAACATTTATTTTAATACAACATCCAAGCCTCGTAATGTGGTATTATAATTAAAATAAATATATTTTTAATTACTTTATGATTTGTGGTAATTTATCTGTGTAATGGATATAAAAAGTTAAAGGATTAAGCATAAAAGTATCTAATATTTATGATTTCTCACCTAAAAGTTCAAAGCTTTGGGTATGATGTTTGAGCTACTACAAGAATGATGTTTACGTGCACATCTAAAATAAATAAACACTAAATCTTTCAAATACGGCATTGAAAAGCGCGCAATCATGTGTTGGCGTAAACAATGGAACGCTACAACAACATGAAAACGCCAATTCAATTCAAACATTAATTACTTCTTAAGGTGGTCCTCCAAGAATACCGAAAAGTGGAAAAAGATAAAAAAGGACAAAAATAGTTGATACAATTGGGGTAAATTTCACTTTTTTTTATTTTTTTTTTCATTTGACTGGTGGTTGACTATATTCAAATTTTAGGGTAAACTTTTTTTTGTTGATGTTTGGAAGGAAATGAGGCGCTTGAGAAATAGTCTTTTTTTTCTTAGATTTCCATTAAATCAAGCAATGGCCGAAAAAAAAGTGCAGTATCATGTAATTAATTTTCAAGTGAGAAGACTTGAATTCTTTGAAGATTATGAATAGGATAAAAGATTTCTCTACCAGGTGCATCCTTCAGGTATTAAGAATTCAAAAAGCAGCTTGTAGGTTTGATTATCTAGGCTTGGACATAGACATAAATTCGCAAAAATTTTTTTACAACAAAACTAATACTTGGTTTAGTTAAGTATAATAGTTTTTCAATTAATCTTCTGAAAATAGTAAGATTAGTAATAGGGTCACATTCATCTTCATTGAGTTTAATAGAAGGATGTGCAAGAAAATTGAATTGATTGATTTTTACCTTGAAAGTCTAAATCCAGAAAATTTCAAGACCATATTTATTTTCATCAGAGACCAAACCTCATTTGGATTAACTTAAAAAAAAAAAAACTTAAAGCTCATCAAGATCCTTGATATGATATTGATCATCAAGATAATTTGTGACTTCATTAATCATGCAAAGATCGATATCAATAAGAACTAAGTCATGTACATAAACTAAAAGTATTATAAAGGAATCAACTGTTTGCTTCCCAAGCAGAAAATGATCAGCTAGACTTTGATTGAAACCAAAGTTGGTTAAAGCATATGTGAGTTTTGCATATTGTCCACTTGTTTGTCTTAATCAATTGAAGCATATGGGAGAAGGAAGATTTAAACCTCTTCTTTGAGGTCACCATGTAAAAAATATTATCTACATCAAGTTGTTGTAACAACCCACCAAAGAAATTGCAACAAAGACGAAAAACCTTAGAGTAATTAATTTGACTACGACATAAAAAGTTTCAAAAATTGTTTATGTGAAACCTTTAGCAATCAGTCGTACTTTATGTATTTTTATGGATCTATCTATCTTGTATTTGGTTATGTAAATCCATTTACATCTCATAGTTTTCTTTTATAGAAGAAGTCTAACCAATGACCAAGTGTTATTGCTTTCTAGAGCTTGTAATTCAACAATTTCATACAATATTTAAGTTAGCTTGCTTCTTTGAAAGAAGTAGGATTGATGGTACCATAAATATATGAAGAAAAAGTAGCATGAGAATTAGAGCATTTGGAATAAAAAAGGTAAGAACGTGAAGGATAACCAGTACTATAAGTAATATGAGATGAAGTTATCATAGGACAATGATAATCAATTAAGTAAGAAGGAATCTTCTTAGTCCTTATGAAAAAGCTTGCTGCAAAGTTAATGACTTGAAGAGGATCATGATGAGAAGATTCAATACTCTATGTAGGAACAATTAAATCATGATCGTGTAAAAAATTATTTTGGTCATCAAAATATGTTCAAGTGAAGAGTGTAAAATATAATAATAAGATAATCAAACTTTGAAGTATTATTAATGCTACTTGTAATATCTATGTTAGAAGAATCTAAAGTGTCATTGACATAAGGAAAATGTTCTTTTCTTTTTATATATAGAATATGACATTTCTAGTAATGACACATTAGTTATTTTTGAGATTGTACAAGATAAATCTTTTAGTTCCAACTTTAAAACCCAGGAAAATGAATATGGTAGCTCTTTTGTCAAATTTTATTCTTCCATAATTAATTATGGTAGCATAGGCCAAGTATCCAAAAATTCTTAAAAATGTTTAAATCAATAGCATGACAATACACTAATTCATAAGAAGCTCTAAATTTTAATATAGTAGGTAGTCTATTTATTATGTGAATGGCATGTCAGTAAAGGATAAAAAATAAGTTGGTAAATTTGCTTGAAACAATAAGGTATGACTAACATTTAATAAATATTGACATTTCCTCTTGAGAATACCATTTTGTTGATGGTCTCAATGTAAGAAGTTTTAGGGAATATGCCTTTTATAAAAAAAAAAATCATTTAGGTAAAACTACTTATCATATCATATCTGAGTTTTTTTTTAGTTTTAACTCAATTCGATTTTCAATTAATTGAATGAAAGGATAAAGAATGAATTTGTCATTAGATTTAGCTTATATGGGGTGAATCCAAGTAACCTAGTAAAGTCATCCACTAGTAAAAAATATATTTAAAACCTTCAATAAAAGCAGTGCTAATTAGGCCCTATATGTTCACGTGTATGAGTTTAAAAAATCTAGAACTTCTACTATTTTTAATAGAAAAAGGTAATTTTCTTTGTTTTGCATACTAAATTGTATCACAAGGATATAGGGATGACAAAATGGG